CGGCTGTGTTAGAGCTGTCAGCGGCTCTCTGTCTGGTCCCGTCCAGCTCACTGATGTCACTGGCTTCCAGGAGCTCAGCGGGATGCCAGCCAGAGCGTCCTACTCAGCTCCCTGGCAACTGATGTCAACAAGTAGGGGGGAAGCCATACAGAGCATCATAGGCTTCTAAGAGCTCTTAGAAACCCGAGACACTGTTGCTGCCCCTCTGTGTTATCCCTGAGCCAGCATATCAGTCCAGGAAGCAGATGATGACCCTGGATGATGCCTAAAAAAAGATGGCAGTGTACTTCTCGAGACAAAAGCAGATGAAGGCATTGTCAGGGGGAGTACAGTAATCTCTATGAGAGGTGAGGAATACCAGGAAATGCTGAATGAACACATTACTTAACATGCATGCACTTAAAGGAGATCTATGAGGCGAGTGATTTGCACTCATCCTCATAGTTAGTGCCGACCTGTGACAAAGAAGCTGTGTGTAGAAACCGCAACTGGAAGACGATGGTGACTCATACCAATCCTTAACACTTTCAGAGACAGGAGGATGCCTAATTGAGCACGCGGAGTTGTAAAACAGTTATTCAAAGTGAGTTTCACTGACTTGATTGCAATCTTATGTCATTGTCGCCGACTAATAGAGCGGCAAGGAAGACTGACATCTCCCAATGAAATGACGCGCTATAGGAATACACAATCAGCTGGTGCAACTCGGCAACAAGACAAAATAAAATCGCCTCTGACATAACAGGATAATTATCCAATTTGTTCACCTTCATTAAAAAAGGAATGTATAGCATTGTTTATTATTCTTTTAATCCGGTCAGGGCTAAATCAAATAAAAATATACACTTTTTCTTAAATGAGGTAAATATGGAACATTGCAAATCAGCAGGTGGAGCTTTAAACTCCTTGTCCCATTTTAAAGGCTCTCAGTTTACTTATTTGTATTTATACATCTCAATAACTCATCAAAAGAGACTTCTTGCTTATGGGATGGCTCACTGACATTTTATCAGGAATTGTGCCTCAACGCAAGCAGCATGGTTGTCTTGTCTCTTAAGGGGGAACTAAACCATCCAACACTCGCCTCCCCTGCAGTGATGCAACTAGGGATGCACGGATACCGATACTAGTATAGGTGCCGATACAGAGTATTTGGGCGAGTACTCGTACTCACCCAAATGCTCCAATACCGGAACTTACATAATGACCCGCCTCCCGGATTCCTGATTGGCTGTGAAGCCGGATTCCCGGCCAATCAGCATGGAGCCGACTTCCTAGGCAATCAAGAAGCTGGGCGGCGGGTGATGACAAGCCGCCCGGCTGCCTGATTGCCCGGGAAGCCAGGCTCCATGCTGGTGGAAGTCATGTGTAAAACTAAAAGTCCACTGAGTAGGATTGGTCTGTTGCCATATTGCACACCATACTTGCATATTGTGGCAAACTTAAGAGTGCCTTCCTCCAGTGATGACCCATCCAGGCTCCAGTTGCCGCTCCATCCCCTGCCAACACTATCTCATTTGCTGTTACCTCTGGGTCCTACGACGCTCCTCTTTGGATATTGCGTGTCCACTGACAATGCAACACCTTTGCATTTGCACAGAATTTACATAGTTCCCGCCACACTGGGTTCATTTCTCGACATCTTACATATACCAGGAATGAGTGGGACTGTACACTGCACAGCGCATGTGCAACTAAAAAAATAAACTCCTAGGAGAAAAAGTTTTCGGCAATTCTTATAGTTTTTGTGTTTTTGGGGGGGACTTGGAGTTCTGATATAAAAACAGAGTTAGGTTACTTTATACTTATGTGTACACAGGCATGTTTATCAAAAAATCACTAAAGCTGAACTCCACGCATACAAAAAAAAAATCCTGCTTGAAGTGGGGCTTCCTCAGGCAATGCAAGGGTTAAATGCCCATTTTAGTCTAGGGTTCCCTTAAAAAAAAGTACTATTACTTACCTTATCCCTCCACCCCTGGCTGCTGGTGCTCACCTCTCCGACGCTCCAGGTTGGGCATGGGCCCTCTGTGTCCTCACTTACAATGCAGGAGTATTGTTCCTGCATTGTACCGGTGACGTCACAGCCTCTGAAAAGAAGAGGCTGCGGGGAAATCGGTCGCATGGAAGGCTGTACCTACAGGAGCAAAGGATAAGGTACATAACACTACTTTTTATGGGTACCCTAGGCAAAATTGAGCATTTATCCCTTGCAGTGAAGAGGGAGCTCCACTGCAAGGAAGAATTTTTCGATTCAGCTTTAAATCTTCCCACCGCCGATTGGTAGTACGAGGCATGCCGAGTCTGCGCCGCCCCCACTACACTACTCACAGCCCTGCGCTGGGCCAATACTATTACAGGCACAGGAAGCCCATCAACAAGATAGATTTGCGTTTCACACAAATGATTGTTGTTGTTGTTGTTGTTCTGAATTTACACAGTTATGCGGTCAGTTCAGCAAACAGTCCCTAATGGACTTCTATACGCAGACATACAAAAGTGACAAAAACAGTCAACATCTCCGCTTTGACATAAGACTCCAATTATACCGAAATGAGACGTGTGTTCGTGCATACAAATACTGTTGTGCTTGCACCTCGTCTGTGTAAAAATATATTGCAAAGAAAGCAGTGACCTCAGCAAAATGTAAAATTTATATTCAAAGACACACACAGAATGGAAAGAGAACACGACAACAAGGCATTATGTGGTCGCTAGTCAGGTCCATGTGTCCCAAGATAAAATACAGAGACACAGAGAGCCCTGAGCGCTACTGGAAAACAACTTAAAGATGATGTTTATTAGTTTATTCTGCTTATAGTTTTTTTTCCCAGATTACATCCACCCCTCCCCCCCCCCTATCAACATGCGAAGAACTCTGGGCGGCGGTGTGATGGTGCATGAAGGGGGGAGGCGGCACAAATCCGGCGGCGCACATCCGGCCAGAGCGTCCCAGGTTCCTAAGAGCTCTGCTTTACCCCTGACTTGACCCAATGAGATGGTCCACCGCCTCAGCTGCCTCATAGGGTCAGCCCTGGGTGTGATGACAGGTTCTCGTTAAGCATGTTGTCATCTGTGCACATCTTACAGTGCAACTCCAATTTTAAAAAACCCAACCGCTTGTCTCTCTCTTTATCTATACTTTTTTTTTTTATTAAATACACTATATTGCCAAATGTATTGGGACACCCCTCAAAATCATTGGATTCAGGTGTTCCAATCACCTCCATGGCCAAAGGTGTATAAAATCACGCACCTCGGCATGCAGACGCTTCTACAAACATTTGTGAAAGAATGGGTCGCTCTCAGGAGCTCAGTGACTACAAGCGTGGTACCGTGATAGGTTGCCACCTGTGCAATAAGTCCATCCGTGACATTTCCTGGCTACTAAATATTCCACGGTCACCTGTTACTGGTATTATAACTAAGTAGGAGCAACTGGGAACAACAGCAACTCAGCCACTAAGTGGTAGGCCACGTAAAATGACAGAGCGGGGTCAGCGCATGCTGAAGCACACAGTGCGCAGAAGTCGCCAACTGTCTGCAGAGTCAATAGCTACAGACCTCCAAACTTCGTGTGGCCTTCAGATTGGCACTTTTCCTCTCACAACATTTTGCTCACAACCGATCTGCCAAATCTCCTTTTCTGCTAACAAATACCAGAACCACTGCGTTCCTCGATTCCAATGAGAACTTAAAACAGAATATACACTATATTGCCAAATGTATTGGGACACCCCTCCAAATCACTGGATTCAGGTGTTCCAATCACCTCCATGGCCACAGGTGTAAAAAATCAAGCACCTCGGCATGCATACCCCCAAACTTTGTGGGGCCTTCAGATTGGCACAACAACAGTGCGTAGAGAGTTTCCTGGAATGGGTTTCCATGGCCGAGCAGCTGCATCCAAGCCTTACATCACCAAGTGCAATGCAAAGCGTCGGATGCCGTGGTGTAAAGCACGCCGCCACTGGACTCTAGAGAAGTGGAGACGTGTTCTCTGGAGTGACGAATCACGCTTCTCTGTCTGGCAATCCGATGGACGTGTGTGGGTTTGGCGGTTGCCAGGAGAACGGTACTTGCCTGACTGCATTGTGCTACGTGTAAAGTTTGGTGGAGGGGGGATTATGGTGTGGGGTTGTTGTTCAGGGATGGGGCTTGGCCCCTTAGTTCCAGTGAAGGGAACTCTTAAGGCATCAGCATACAAAGACATTTTGGACAATTCCATGCTCACAACTTTGTGGGAACAGTTTTGGGATGGCTCCTTCCTGTTCCAACATGACTGCGCACCAGTGCACAAAGCAAGGTCCATAAAGACATGGATGGGGGAGTTTGGGGTGGAGGAACTTGACTGGCCTGCACAGAGTCCTGTCCTCAACCCAATAGAACACCTTTGGGATGAATTAGAGCGAAGACGGCGAGCCCGGCCTTCTCATCCATCAGTACCTGACCTCACAAATGGTCCAACATTCCCATAGACACGCTCCTAAACCTTGTGGACGCCTTCCCAGAAGAGTTGAAGCTGTGTGTGTGTGTGCATTTATTTACTTATTAAATATATTGCATAATACCACCTCAAATCTGATGCCTTTAATCTGAGAGATCTGATTGGCTGATCACAGACGTTTCTTCCTTCGGACTCGATGTGTGAGGTCCGCCGATATGACAGAACGGGTCCGGCAGGGACAGAAGCTCTCGGGGTTATCAGTGGATAAAAAGCAATCAGATCAG